GTATCGTACATAATCTTTGAAACGTTAATATTCGGAGTAATTCTATTTAAAGATACAAAAAATGGATAACTTTATAGCAAAACATGCTAGGATTCATATTTATGGAAGTAAGTAAAATCTTTTACTTCATAATTTACATTTAACATATTATAAGTTTTGCATAAACTAACCAATTATTTTTCTGTTAATACTTTTCTATTTTTTAATTTTTTTCCATTAGCCTTCATCAGAATGCAAACTAGGTAAGTTCATATAATGAGTGCAGACAAACAGAAAAGCATGTTGGTAAATTCTATGGACAGGTTTGGCACGTTAATGTGTTGGATGCGGGATGGTACGAAACTATCAGTTAATTTTGATTCAAGATGAAATACGAGAATCAGAATGTAGCTCAGTCTGGAAGTTATGATAAATCTAGATTTGAAATCGCCATATACAAAGAAGGATTTGTGTGAAATCTCTTCTTTGGTGCTATTGGATATTGATCAAAAAAAATTTTAGGCAGAATTTCAAAAGGTACGGAATGTGCAGTGTAGCTATGAGTGGTTCACGGGAAAAGATGTGGCTTCTTGGAAAGAGTATAAAGTATTTCTCCAGTCTTCTTAGCGTGCCTTCGTGGTGTAGTGGTCTGCACGCTCGTCGCGTATTCGAGAAGTCCATGGTTCGATTCCCGGTTAGGGCATTGCTCATTTTCCAAGTCTGCTGCTTCCAAAAAATCCTAATGTCTCTACAAGAGCAATACTAAATATGAGAAAAAACTTGAAGCATAATTTGTTGTTCATGGAGGTAAGAAATCATAAAGTCAATATCATCTTTGGATTGGTAATTTACGGGTATAGGAATCCCAAATTTAATTTGAAGAAAATACAAAAGAACTAAGCATGAATGAGTTGCGGGCATAGGCTTTTCGAAAGCCTGCATTTAGGAGAAGGCGTTTAGGTTACTTAAAAGAAGTGGAAAAAGAAATTATGAAAACGCAATAGTTACGTTTACAACATTTTTGGATGAAACTCCTGATTTAACACGCATAGTAGGATATCAAATAGATACCCGTGATAAATCTGCATGAAAATCTAAACTTTATAGAAAAGGCAAAATTCAAAAGGAAGTAACGGAGAAATATGTCGCCAAAATGTTAAAAACTAAAACTATTACACTCATAAGAAGTTCTTTTGCCAGCCCTGCAGAGCTTCGTGGGAAAAGAATAATTAACTGATTAAAGACTATAAAATTACTTCCAGATATTTTGAAATAGCAATGAGGATGCAATCAGCAGATGCCATTATTAAAAAATAATCAAGCAGAAGCCATTATTAAAAAATAATCAAGCAGAAGTCATTATTAAAAAATAGGATTTTATGCTTTTCGTTGCTACTTTTTATGTTATGTAGAACACCTGTTACATTTCAACATGCCATGGTTTTTATGTGATGGACAATCTGAAGTTATCCATGCTCATTTATTCAGATGGTATAATGAGATTATGTAAATAGATTTAAGCCAGAATAATAAAAATAAATTAATACAATTATCAGTAGCATAACAGAGAATTTAAATAGAAAATTAAAAATAAGTAAATTCCTTTATTTAGAAGACATGTCATTATAAGTAGCACAAAAGATACTATAATCTATATTATAAATTATAAGATATTTTCTCCTTTCTTTCTGCATATCTTCGTGAAAAAATTGGAAGCGTATTCGACGCGTACTCGAGAGGTCCATGGTTCCAGTCTCGGAGAGGGCGCTGTACATTTTTCACCTCTCCTGTTTAACGCTTTGCGGCACAGTGTGTCCGGTCTGGACACACCTAAAATTTTACTTTCTTAAGCACAGAAAAATTGAATGAAAAAGGATTTATAGGTTACTATTATACTACTCTGAATTTCTTATTTATAGAGATGGCGCTCAACCCCAGTCCTCATTAGCCAGTTAGTTAAGACCTATTTTCCAGCAATCTTCCGCTTTTTAAGGGTTCAAAGGATTATTTGAAATTCATGTTTTTTTTGGCTGTATTCTAATCTCCTTATCCTATATTAATTTTTAATTTTTGCCTTGAAATCTTGCCTAAAATCAAGCGCGAACCCTAGGTGTGCCCACATCGGGCTCACCGATCATCTAGGACCATTGAGATCCTGTATTCTTTGTTTCTCCGCATCTCTTCGGTCAGTTCATCGACAACAATGCTCGTTTCACCACTCTTTTCAATCAGTTCAAGCTCTATTCAGTCAGTGTGTCCACTTTGGGCACGTCCACAGAATTAAAACCATAAGTGCTATCTTTCACAAAATTTTACTTGTGTACTCCTCTAGGCCTAATAGACTGCTATTTTTTTTTAATCAAAACTCCGACTTTAAAAGGTAGCGTGCCGGAAAGGGTTAAAAAAAACCTTAATGACTCTCAGTGCTAGTTCTCTCAACCTATCAAGTAAGTAGAATTAAATTGCGGATAGCACAGTTCTGATGATTGGTAGTCTATCTTAGTCGAGATGTTTAACATGTTCCAGAACTTTCTATTTCGTCGAAAATTGTCGGGATCGCAAGTTTTTGCTTTTCATATTAGCTCTAGTCCATTGTTTCTCAACCGGTGGTATGCAAGAGAAAAATAAGTGGTAGGTAAAGAAAAGGTATTTTTAACTATTAAAGTCAAAAATTTCGAGAAGAAAAAGAAAAATTGACAAACATTTCCTGCAATCGAACTCGAACTGAAGATTTCAAAAATAATACACTTGTTAACTTTTGTTTGAACTGAAAAATAACTTTAAAGGCATTTCAAATAAAGCTATTAAATTTTTATTCCATTGTTGCACAACCTATTTGTGTGAACAAGGATTTCCTTCCATGTTATATTTAAAACTTAATTACAAAATTAAAAGTGGATCTTAATTTTCGGTTAAAACTAAGTGAAATAAAATCAGACACAAAGAAATTTGTCTACCTTAAACATATTCAAATGTCACATTAAGTATTAAAGTAATATAACTTAAATTTTGATAGTAAAAATGCTAACCCATTTTTAATATAATATATTTTTATGTATGTACATTTAATACAAATAGTCAATAGGTTGTGCAAATGACAAAATATATTAACTTTTAATATTTCTATTGAGAAATTGTAAAATAACCATTGTAAAATGTAGCGGTGGTACTTAAGTTTTTCAGTTTTTTATTTAGATGATGCGCGTTAGTCGAAAGGTTGAGAACCACTGCTCTAGTCACATTTTGACAAATTGTGACTCGTTGTTCATATTACACAGCCAGCTGAAATAAGCACTGTAGCAGTTAAAACAGAAATGGGAAAAAACCGAGTGCTGATGCAGTGATAAAACGTTTTTGTATAAAGAAGTGCTCAGATCAAAGTGGGGATGCAAGGAGTTCACGAGGAGTTTTCACCACAATTCCAAGATAATTTATTTCTGAATGAATTAACATAAATGTGGTTGAGCATGCAGGGAAGGAACCTTTAGTAGATATGCGTTTAGTGATCTTCAACAGTAATTCCTACAGAAGTTTTGCGTCGATTCGTAATTCTAAATGAAACACAGGTTACTGAACGCCTGATCCAAAGCAGGGAATAGTGAGTTGAACAGAAGACAAAAACTGTTTTGATGATTTAAAATGTCATGCCTCCATATTTTGTAGCTTTTGGCGAAATGTACTTTTCCGACGAGAAGAAAAAATTGTTTCTTAGACTAAGTGGTCCTCAGTGAAAGCTATGTTGTGAAACATAATCGAAATCTTGCAAAAAACAATATTCCAAGAAACAATATGTATATTTGCCTCTTTTTGTCATACTGATACAACGATACTAGACAAAAAAAGCGATACACGCAGACGGCGTAAAAGACTTTGGTCTTATTAAAGGCGGTCCTCTCTCCAAAAAGAATTCGCTATGGAAAAAACATTGATATTACTTATAAACTAGTGATGAATCACCTCTACTTTGAGAGCACATTACATGTTGTTGTGTTGCGACTTATCTCATTCGTCTGGCAGCAACATCAGAATAAGCCCACGCGAAATTAATCGTGGCAAGGAGAGCAAGATTGCTCCTGTCGTTGGCAACACTCTGAAGTACATTACCTAGAATAATTAGATGGGCGTTATGACTTCGAAATTTTACCTAACGATTTAGCATAGCGTGGAGAGTGGAACTGTTCTTGCAAATGTGTATTATCACGAACTAAATTAGATAACGAGAAAAATCAAATCAAGAGTATTATGCAGACTTCTACAATACCAGATTCTGGTAGAATATTAGTAAGAGAGTGAAGCTTGGAAATATATAAGGGTATGTTCAAAATGTGGAAACTTTCAATCGTACTGACATTTTAAAAGGTTCGAAATTTTTCATTTCAAACTCCATTTCAAAGACTTGCAGCAGAATTTCTGCTACATAATGTATTTCTGCATCCATTCAAAATATAGGCTATTCTTCTGTCAGTTAAAAGATTGCTTTTGGAAGGTCACTGGGCATCGATATTGATAATTATGAGCACAGTTATCAGCAATAATAAAGAGAAAAACTGAAAATTCCAAAACGATAATTCCAGAAAGGAATACATTAGGCACGGAAAATAATTAATTTGATAGAAATAAAACACTTCGAAAGCTAAACGTGCCATCACCTCTTATTTTGAATATTTTTGTAATAAACGAGGGACTGATTATTTTTTGTTAGATAAATATGTAGAGTAAATAGCAACTACTAAGTGTATTAGGATCCTAAAAGATAAAATTTACTTGAAATAATTATTAACTGTAATTAATGAAAAGTAATAAGTGAAACTTTGCAATTATTAAATTATACTGTTTTCAATTAAACTTAAATACTCTGTTATTTATTCCTAAGCCAGAGCTACACAAATATGCACAATGAAAGGCTAAGGAACACAATGCAGTTTTTCACGTAGCTTTTGATTTACATTTCAGAGGATTTTCCGTTAACAAAATTTTTATGCTTGTCTATGCTGGTAATTAAGAGTAAATTATTTACTTACAACATCGGTTGCTTTTGTATCAGCACCATGGTCCAATAACATTTTGTAAATCTCACCGCCATCGGACAGCACAGCGGCATAATGAAGAGGTGTCCTGCCTTTCTGCAAGTAAACAGTGAAAATCACATTTAGAAAGCTTTCACATAATTTAACTTGTTTATTTCGGATCAAGCTAAGAAGTACGTATTCTTTATTTAATTATTTTTTTCAGAGGAAGAAATTTTTTTAAAAATATCTGAAGGAAAACGTTTAAAACTGCAAAAATAGAAATTTTTACATTAATTATGTCTTAGCATTCACAAAAAAAGTATTTTCTTAAGTGGTTTTAGAGAAAGTAATGTACTAATGTAAAACGTAAGATTAATTTTAGAGAAATTTAGAGAAATTTTGGATAAGATTTTCCCTCTTATTCTGTTCTTTCAACCATTAATCTGGTAAGAATTGGAAAGTGTTCTGGTGAATCTAAATCATAAATGGGACTAGAAATCAATGTGAAACCTAGTGTTTAGAAGAAAATTTTACCTTATTTCAGTTTATCAGCAAGTGAAGTTTGAACTGTGGATAACATTTCAAATTATAATATTTTGTATTTGATATTGGGATGTTAAGGTTTGGCAAATAAATTGCTTTGGAATTCATTAATGAACTGAAAATGCTAAAATTGTCAAGAAATGCTTATGATAACGCATTTTTTATTGTTATATATAACAGAAATTGAAATAAATTCGAAGACTTCAGAAGTACGTATTGACCAGAAGAGAATAAAAGGTCGACAATTTCATGTTTTAAGACAACTGTTTGCTTCTTCGTTTAGAATGGTAACAATAAACTGAGAATAAGAACAGAGTATGATGGGCAAAGTGTAGACTGAAATGATCATTATAATTTCTCTAAAAATATATTTCTTTCCTTTTGAATATCTATTCCAAATGCAATGCTGTTGTGAATAATTGAACCTACCTTAGTCGACACCTATGGTTAAAAATAAAACCATAGGTGTCGACTACTCTTAGTCGACACCTATGGTTTTATTGAGGAAGAGTGTTTCTTTCCTCTAAGGCGCTACTGTTTATGTTTAAAATCAATTAATTCATAAACAATTTTTAAGTATTACTATACAAAATATGCAAATGCTTTACAACGACTTTCCTGAAATATAAAATAATAGTGTTCGACTAAAAGAATACAGTTTTCAGCAGAAAAACGTCGCGCGTAACCTGAAAGGAGTTAAATATGATCCTAAACATCTTTGATATATTAAATAACAAGTAATGCATGCCATTTGTATTTTATATATTTAGCTTTTATTTAGTAGCTCTTTAACCATAGGAATGTTAATAAGAATAGAAAAATACGCCTTTCTTACTGCAGTAATGCTACTTTGCAATTTATTCTTTGCAGTTCTTCTTATTTAGGAGATGAAATTATTATGATATGCCATGTGATAATTGTATTAAGTCGTTCGGTAAGGTTTAGCCACAAAATACTTCAGAGACCAATACGAAAACTGACTATAAATCTTTTTTCATGGACTGACTTTAATACTTTCGTTTATTAATAGGTTTATAAAAAAGAATACGCGAATACTGTAGTCTAATGTTTCTCTAAATTAAACTGAATTATAAATTATGTGTTTAGAATTTAATATTAGTTACGTAACTAGGCTTGTTTTAAATTTCCAAATTTTGAATTGAATATTCTGTGTATGTTAAATTATATAAAAAAAAAACAATGTAAAATTGACTTACGTGGTCTCTTGCATGGACTACAGAGGGATATCTGTCGAGAAGGTAGTCGATAATGGGTTTTTGAGAGAAAAGAACTGCTTTGTGCATGGGGCTGGCACCCATATGGTCTCTGCAGAATGCAAGTTTCTTGCGGTCGATCAGGTGCTGCACATCTCGCAAGTTGCCAGTACTCACTGCCTTGTGGATCTCGTCTATTTTGCTCTGAAAGGAATTAGGAAGCATTCTTTATGTATATAAAATGCTTTTGTTGCATTATTATATTATTCATAAACGTATAACATAAAAAACGGGTAATGATTATGTGTGCTATATAATCTTCCGTGTAAAATGCAGCATATGGTGGGCCAAAGTATTTGATACATTTTAAGAAATTATATAAGAGAAGGCAGCTAAACATACGTATAAATAACTGGGATATAGAAAGAGGAATAAAAGATAAAGGTTCTTTTTCTTTTCCTCCTTTTTATCTTTTACTTAACAAAACTTTTTGAGGAGCTAGAGGGTTGTCATTTTGTTCCGGAGCATTTGTAAGACCTATCTCTGTTATTACACATAAAATAAATTAGGTAGATCCTAAAATAAATCTGGCGAATTCTCTCACAAGCGTGAATAAATTACCAGCGCAGAAAAAAGGGTAAAAAATAACCCTTTAATTAATTTAAACTAATTTAACAGAAAGACACGGATTTCGTGGTTTACAAAAATACCATCCACTTGCGGTGGGAATTAAAACGTATAATATAATACAAGTCAAACCTGAAATAAATAATACAAGAACGCACTTAAATTTACGCCTAAGAGGTGGACTCATAGAAATCTAACCGGCGTGATACTAATCTGATAACGCCAAGAGGCTTACTAGCGTGACCGCGAAATAACAACGAAACATGCGCTTGGCTAGCAAAACACGCTTTGAAAAAAACTGCTGAGATACATACGTTTAAATTAGTACTCATTTACTTTAAATTTACATTCTGGCGAAAGAATGCGAAAAGGACTGTGAGGGGAAGTTGAGAAGTTTAGAACAGGAAATCAAACTTAAATTTGTTATGCAAAATAAAGAAAACCCTACTTATTTACCGAAGTCATTGCCAGCTTGCTGTCAGCTTTCAAACCGGCTTCTCCCACAGAGAAGAACTTAAGGAAATCATGCAATATGAGAAAACATATCACCAATCACAGTTCAACATGCTGTTCGAAAGCAGTGTCACAAGTCTACGAATATCATCTGAGAAGTAATTTCATTCCTTTGAATTAAGAGGAAAAGGTTTAGATATCTTCTTTAGATTGAAGGAAGTATAGAAGAATTTATTCAACATTAAGCCGATGTCTATGAAGGAGGTAATGGGTAAACCACAAGTAATGCTCACTAGCACCTCAGTGGCTGGATAAAGATAAGAAAAATAAAAAAAAGATACTAGACGGCTGGGTCAAAAGCTCAAGGACTCAAGATATAGAATTCAAGCACAGGCTAGCCGCTATTCAGGCATTTCTCCATACAACTTGTTTTTGTGGTTTTAAGAAAAAGACAAAATGATTATTCTCTTCCTTCCACTATACAAATGATTAATCATGATATGATTGACTACAGCATTAGAAAAAAATGCAATTTTGCCTGGAGGTTTTACTGAATATCCAATTAATTACGAAGAGAGAAAAATGAATTACGAATTAGAGCTCTCTTTGAACTTTCCATTTAAAATATTTATTTCTATTTTATTTCAATCGAGATAACCACCACAAATACTTTTATTTTCTTATTATTTTTAAAAAATACAATTTTGTTTTGTCGTTTGCACGTTTAACGTTACACACGCATATAAAAATTTCGTGTGCTTCTCGGAGAAGCAAATGCTTTCATATTTGCTTCACTGGGAAAACTAATATTTTTCAAAGTTATCTATTTGCGTCTAGTGTACGATCTTTAGAAACTTAAACCTGATGAAAAAAAGGAGATTGAACTTATTGCAATAAGTTTAGGTTTATTAAAAAGAAATCAGTGCACAAGATCGTAAATTATAGTGAACTATATCTAAATAATTAGTCTGTAACCATGCTAATAGCTGTTATCATCACCGAAAGAAGAGATTTGTGACAGTAAATGTTTATTTTCCGATGAAAGTAAGAAAATGTTCATAAAAATTTTCGATTAAGAATTTGTCAGCATTAAGTATTAATAAAAGAACTTATTTTACTGTAGACTGTTGACTTTAACCACTAAAAGACATTTTTTTTAAATGGATATTTTAAATATAAAAAAAAATTAGTTATGTATCTCAGATGTATATTAATTTATTTGAAAAATAATCAAAAATTTCGAGTATTAGCAATGGTAACGTAGACAATATTCATATTATACTTACAATAATTACTGAAAAGTAACTGATGCGCTGAGAATTAGAGCAATTTTTGTTTTATTTTAATTTCTATCAGTTTTTAATTCTTGAGTATTCTGCATGATTATAATGTTGAATTACTTAATCATGTGTAATTTTTTTATCTTAATGGCAATGGAAAACGAGTTTGTTAAAAGATTTTACATTAAAATAATCCATAAAGTTATGCTTAAAGACAATTCATGAACTTAGTTACTTGTTAAAGATATAATTTATAAGCACTATTATTCACATTTATGATAGTAAAATCATGAGATGCTTTGAAATTCTTAGAACAGTAATTAGTATTAAAACACAAAAACATACTGATACCTTTAAAAATGAAAAAAAAAATAGTACTTAAGATCAATTGCTTAATTATTCTTACCTTATCCATTACTTCCATTACATTAATTTCATCTTTTGGATATATGCGTCTCCTGATTTGTTTGAACGGCGTTTAACATATATACATTATTTAATTATGTGTGTGTTTATCTTCCTTCTTCTTAATCACTGAAAGAACTGAATACTTATTTTATAAAGATAAACCTACAGTAACATTTATGGGACTTATAATCTTGAAGCTGTAGCTGTCATTTAATTGCTTTTATTAAACATTTATCACCTTTGAATATTCATAAAAAGTCCCGGTGGGTTCAAGATTTTATGAGTTTGCTTCTTCTGCATCCAACGTTAAGTCTCACAGGAAGATCTAGATGCGTGAGAAGCAGAAGCAATTTTTGACTCTGGATACATTCCAAGAGGCAGAGCTTTCAGTTTAGTATGCAGATAGATGGACGAGTGTCATTAAACTACCAACGACTCTCAGGAAGTATCTTCAGATTGCTAGGTCCAATTTATTTTGTTTGTGTTCTATTGCCGATTTGTGGTACCCCACAATCTGTATTCTGCAAAGTCTAGGACGAATATGAAAGCGACTGGAAAATAACGTGTTTATTCTTCCACCCTCGGCGAATAAATCTCCAGGGAACGTGATTTCCCGACAAAAGAACTACTTGGTGTCACGTGATGCGGGTCACAAAGCAATAACACAATCTTGACGTCATATGGGGACCAACACGCATAGGAGTTCGTGCATACCCATTGGGTGGAGAAGAAAATTAAAAGTTACAATGCACCAATGAATTCGCGTCGCCAATTTTTGTTTAATTAGTTGAAAATGGGTCAAAAACCTGAAGAGGGAGATCTCTACGAAACACGCAAGGGGGCAGAGAGTACTTGGGTCTGAGAAGCCTTTCTGGTATGAGTCTGATGTTCTTCCCTCTTCTTGGAATTAGGACAGGAAGTCCAACAATTAACCCTGCTTTTGGAAAAAATAATGGCATAGAATTAAATTAAAATAGGCTCTCTATACCAAACTATATTTCAGAAATCCGAATTTCTTTCGCATGTTTATCACAGTCGGAATCTTTTGCTTTGTATGTACCGGATATTGAGGTGCAAATTTCCGAAATTTACAGTGAATAATACGGTATACAATATTATAATATGACTATTTTACACAGTTTAAAAAATGAGATCCAATTATATGACCACAAAAGGTAAACTAAGGGAAGGAATGTATTACATTTCTGTATACATATATCCCTACTAAGCATTATTTATTTGACTTTAATATATTTATTTATAGGCTTAATCTGCATTATATTCTATATGAACATATTATCATCATTCTATCAACATATAGACACATGGTTGCAAACAATGAATGAATTAAAATTTAACGAAAAAATATATTTTAATTAGGATATATTTCAATTGGTGATTATATGTTGAATTGAAAACTTTAATTCGCAACATTAAAAATCAAATTCTTCATGTAAAATAAAATTAAGTCAACAAGGATGCATCTTTTATTGAAAAAGAGATATAGTTGCATGTTTTAGAATAAAGTTAATAAGAAGCAAATGCTATTTCAGTATTGTATATTTTATACTATATTTTTCATTTGGCGGCTGCAAAGGCTAAAATTTATTTTTATAGTGACGCTGAAATGCATAGAACCATTTTAGCACATTCAATTTATTTGCAAACACAGTATGCGTTTCAGACAGCTACAAATAAGATATGTATACTTTCTCTCTTCTTCAGGTAAGATCTGGCAAAGAAAGAGAAACAAAAATTAAGCAATCTTTTTATTGCTGAATTTTATTTAACGTGACCTAAACGCTGCCTGCTGAAAACTTCTGAAGTATTCAAAAATAGATTCCCTCACTTTGGATTAAAAAAATTAGAAATGTATGAAAAATGTTAGGGGATATTTTAAATTAATCATGTACTCAGTAAATTTAGATAAAACTTATTATTCTCAAAAGAAAATTCTTTCTTCCTAACAATAAAGAAATCTAAGAGAGTATTTGTGTAAAACCACACTTATACAAAACTCTGGTCAAATTCAAATCAAGGATAAGTTGCTTAAGCCAAATTATTATATTAGAAGAAAAAATAAAAGTCCTTCCTTTTCCTAACAGAAACGTTTCGTGTTTTAATCGAAAACCATTTTACTAGTGGCATTAAAATTTAATGCAAACTTAAGAAATAAACACATTTTCACACTGACTTTGTACATAGCACATAGCACATTTGGGACTTTCTGATTCCAAAATACAGAAGCATCCTGTGGGATGCCCTTAGTGCGATTACAATCAAATTCAAGTTTGACGACAATTCTCTGAAACCTAAATAATTCCAGTGGAAATTACGAGATACTGACTTTTCGGTATCTCTGCGTTTTAAAGTTGGTTTATTATTTAAATACAGCAACGTAATCAAGGGCTATCTAGAAAAGGGAAAAGATTTCTTCGTGGAGGACTTCTTAAGTAAACTGATCACTTCACACATAGAGAAAACCATGAAATCCAACAACGTAGCTATCCCGTTCTCCCTTGCTTGAATCTAGATTGAACTATTGGTATTCAACGATCTAAACCATTCGCCCACTTATGGGGTTCAAATAATGCATAATTACATTTGTAATAAATTAAATTTGTTGTTTTTTAATACGGTAAAAAATGCTATCTAAGGGGAAGATTGTGTTGTTGCAAGAACTATTTTTTGCAACAAAAATTGACTCGTATTCACATTACACAGAGAGAAACCTTCTAAAACCAACTATGCAACCAACCCGTTGGCCGGGTGTTCGAGCTGGAATCAGATTACCAGTGTTAAAGCGGGCTTAACCACTCAACAACTTGCGAATCCGAAAGATCTTGGGAGCGAGTCCTGATGGAAAACTACACTAAATACATTTTCACTCTCCTAATAAACTTTCAAGGAAGTTATATCACTAAAGAGGAGGGATATTGTGCGATGTATCACTTAAATGAGTGAATGTGAAAAAATTTTGAACACTGAATGCACTCAAGATAGCTGAAGGTTTGTCTAGAAAATCGGCAAGCCATCAAGTGATAGAACATATTACGGGAAGAAGTTATATTGTAGTATTTATGTTTAACTTTTTTCAGTCTTTATGAAAGCACTTTTATCCTTGAACAGACAAGCTATATACTTCATACAATCAAATTCTAACTGAAAGCTTAATGCGTGAATTCACAACTGGCCTTAGTTAAATTAAAAACAATGACTTTACATTAAAATGTTTTTTAATTATTTCTTTTATACAGATGCAAAAGAAAAGGATATGAATTGATATAAATGTAACATATGCTTACGGGAAGTATGTAAATCTTATTTCAGAGGCTCTCAGATTTCGATTAGCATCTCATAGCCCAGTTAAATTAAACAAATCGGTGGGAAAAAATCATAGAGCTTTGGAAATGGTCTTAAACGCTTCCTTTAGACCTGGGCTAATGTGTGTAAAAAACCCCCAAGGGTGGAGAAGAGCTCGAGGAGGGCTAGGGGTTTAAAG